AGAGTGAACACCACTTTAGGTAATTTAAGCGCCTAAACCATGACTCTTTATATTTATTGATGAAGCCATGGCAAAATTTCAGAGGTTTAGAGAAAATAAGTATTGAGATAAGAATCAGTCTTATTGACAAATGGTTTCTAGAACTCATAACTTTCCATAACATTTAAACTTGATAAGACTTTGTACCGAATGCTACTGCAAATTTCAGGTCATTATATCAAATGAACATATGATTCATAAGCTTTAGAACTTTTTTAAGCATTTGACTTTGTACAAACTTTCACTTTAAAGCCCATCTCAAGTATCATAAATGAACAAATGGTTGTAAGCCTAAGATCTTGAAAGCGAATTCTGCATGGTTTCTGTATGCATTCCACATTATTTTGGAGTGTTAAGAGTAATGTACATAGATAGTGGAAACAAATTCTTTCTAGCTTTACCTCTAATGAAAGAGGGGTGGCTAATTAAACCTCAGAACACCATGCAACTTTGGGTTTATTGAGAATAAAGAAGAAATAGCTTTATGCATGAGATCAAGAATTTGAGAGAAATTTTGAAACAAATGAAACACACTGGAGGTCAATTAAAGCCCAGAACTGAAGACCAGGGGAAATTTAGTGAACTATTATTAAATTTTTTCATCTCCGCGAACATCAATTAAAAAATATTTCACATTGGAGGAACATCATCTCATGGTCAAATGTGTTTTGAACCGAATCCACTAAAATAATAGACCTATAATAAATATATATATAATCGTACCTATAGCCTTGGCTTATGGATACTGTAAGATAATTCAAACCGGTTTTTTTTTTTTAAAGGTTTGAAGGCAGTGGGTAACTATTGGTATGTGCCCTTGCATTAAAGTGCGTAGAGTTCTGCCGTATGATTAAATAAGGAATCCTTTTGTACCATGTAAGGTGGAAGTTGAAACGACGATTCATCCCTCGTCCAATATGCTAAAAGAGCTTATTACTCAGAATCCGAGGAAACTCATTGGCTTCAAAATGCTCAATGGTCTTCAACGTCCAGAGTAGACTCTCTGTAAATGCAACACATTCGGTATTAAACTGCCTTGCTGAAATTGCGGCGGTATAGATAGATATTACTGAATTCATGCATATTTTGTAAATCAACATTTATCTGGAATATATAGGAATTGACATAGTAACTTTTTGAGTTCCACATCAGTGGTTTTGAAATCTAGTTTTTTCTCATGATAGGTGGCATGTTTAGGGAGTTGTGATTTTTTGAAGAGAACAGTTTAATGATATAATGCATTGTGTTGATATCATTTTTCTATGCAAAGTGTGGTTTCAGCTACTCTTGTAGATACCACTTGATGTTCCATGATACATTATATACATTGTGTAACCAATCCGTATCTTGTACCTGGAAAATGTGTACATGAAAAACTACATGTAAAGAAATGATTAGATCACTCAATATGCGTATGGAAAGAATGCTATCACATCAAATCACAATATTTTGATACTTCATTAATATCTTGTGGGAGATATATGTTGTTATGAGAGTGATTTGCATCTCAATTAGACTTTATTTTAAGTTTGGTTGTATTTCATGTTCAAAATTATTTTGTTAAACTTGATTTTGCATTTCATGACAAGAATGAAAAATCTATCAACTTCCTGCTAAATCAATCAGCAAATTACAAAATTTAGCATTAATTCTTGAATCTCATTATGACATACAATTTTCTCAAAAAATTTATATTGTGTAAAATTATTATTTTTTATTGAAGTTTACAATTTTAAAGTAGAATAAATTTTAAAATTGCAAAAATAGACACATATCATAGCTCAAAAGTTTGATTTAGCTATGATTATTCTTGTAATATTATATTATAAATTTAATGTAGGCTATTGTAGTGTAATGACTAGAACTAAGACACAAAAGCAACAATGTTTTATTTTGGCTAAATCTTCTAATTAAATTTTTCTACACCTAGCTCGTGTATTGATGAAAAATAATTTGCACTGAAGTGATTGAATTATCAAAATTAAATTTAATAAATCATCAAATCATTTTGTTCCTCTTGTCTACAAATTAAATACTTTCAAAATTTTTATTCAAAAAGTTCAAAATGCATGTGAATGCATTTCAGAAATATCATGAGCGTGTGACATTTCAAATGTTTTAGATGATTTTATATCTTGCAAGAGATATGTTTATAAATTTGATGCTAGAAAGTAATTGATTTTTGTTGATAAAAAACTAAAGTTTGTTGAGGAAAAGTAATGATTTTTTTCCATAATTTCAACTGATATAAATATTTATAAAGATCATTATTATCATTAATATCAATTTTATCATATCATGTTGTTTGTAGTTCATAATCTAATTGCAAAATTATATTATTTGATTATGGAAAAACTTCTAGCATTTTAATATGTTAGATTGGATAAATTTATCAATAAAAAGTGATCATTGAAAAAATTAATAAAGATGAGATATAAATTATGGGTGAATCTTTGTGTAATTATATGCTCTTATAAAACTTGAACATGATATAAAATCAGTATAGTAAATATTTTTTACAAATAATTTTTTTTAATTTTTTATATGTATTTGCTTGCTTTACTTTTGTGTAATAATTAATTAAATAACAACTTAGGCTTAATAGTATTAAATTATGCAAGCATTGGTCATGATCTCATCAAATTCATCTTGTACTTTTGAAGTGAAAGTGTAACAAGGTGAAATAGATTTTTTAGACTATACATATATTTTTAAGCTTCAAGTTTTCATAACATCAATGTGTAAATTAACTTAAAATTAATATGCAAGCAAAATTTTCTTATTTTATCATATGAATTTAAATTAGCTTCTATAATGTACAAGAATAAGTTCACTAAACATGAATAATTTTTATAGAATCATTCTTTTAACTCATTTGGCTTAATTACAGACATATTTTTTATGACATACATCTATATTACACCAAAATTTTTTCGAAAGTACAATGATAAATATCAATCATGTATAGTGGTATCTATCAATCATGATATTTTGATACAAACAATAATAAATTTTAAGTATTTAATAAAAAATCTTAAATTTTCTTAGCAGGAATATTTTAATTTTGGATTAATAATTATTTTTAAATTTTTAGTTATACTTTGAATTTTATGATTGAAAATAAAAATTTTCAATTTCAATTTGAAAAAGTAAAGATCAAATTTCCATTAGATTGATACAATGAAGTGTTACATATGCAACTACACATTCCTGATTTTTCAAATTAATTTTTTTTTCAAGATGATAAACATATAGCTTGAGGATCAATTCTCCCGAATATGAATCTTATTGAAAAAGTTCAAATTACCGATCCGATTGAAGTTTAATTGTCGTAGTCAATGAATTATTACTCTGTGTAGATTGTCATTCAAGTACTCTTGACAGTTGTCTATAGATTATAGAAAATTGCTCAAAAAAATTGTAGAATCCAATAGCATGAAATATGTCATACATTCTTTAGAGAAAGCCATCAGGAAATTAGCTTGAGTGGAGGAAATTACTCCCCTTATGCTAGTAAAGTAACATGCCCCAAGACTCGATTGGCATGTTACCCCGGTTGGTTTCATTTACCGTGAAGTCCCCCACATGTCGTCCATGGATGCAAGTAGTATAGCAAAAGTAAGGGAAGATCCCATCTTTTGCGCTATACAACTTGCTTCCTATCCGAGCACAAGTGTTCGCTCGCTCGTCCCGGTTCCCTTGTACAAGGACAGGATTTGGGACCTTGGATGAGCTCGTAATGCGTTCTCTAAGTGACAAACCTTGTCAGAGTTACGCAGAGGTCAAAGGGACGACTCGAGCCGTGGATGAGCCCTCAAGTTCCCGAGATGGCGGTTAATGGGGAGCTGGCCGAAAGAGAGGTTCACCGTCTTCACATGCATCAATGATTACTCGGAATTGCTCGTTGACATGGCGTCGACTGGTCACACTACACAATCAATAAACAGTACAATGATGACGCGGGAGACACGCACTTTTGCAGAATTGACGATTTTCTCCTCTTCCTGCCTCTTCCAGAATACTGTAATCACTGTAATCTCAGCGACTGATCACAGTCCTCGATTCAGTCAGCAGCATACCCAGGCGAGTATTACCGGTTTGCCTGTGCATGCCGCGCACTTCGAGAAAGGCACAGCATTTTTCAAATCCTGCCGGCGGGGGGAGGCCGGTAAATATTCTGTAACGGGAAAAGCCTGTTTCTAATAATTATTTTTTTAACACCGACCCTGCTGTAACTTGCCATTTGGTAGTCAGAAACCTGGTGAACATTTTCTGATATTTTTACTAGGCTCCCGCAGAAGGGAAATTTAGCTTTCGGCGGTATAACTTTTAGTATAGTTCATACTCCTCCCCATGTCCAACTTGCACCTCGTTAACTGGAGTCAGCTGCCTCGCCCGGAAAACCTTTTAAACATTCAAAGATAATAGTCCTCCTCATATTCCGGGAGTCACACGGAAGAATTGCTTTTTTCGCGGTTTCTGATTTTTCTGAACGAGCACCTCGAGAATGTCGCCGAATCGGATAGAACAAATTTTCTCGCAGACGCCCCAGAACGGCACGTGCCAGTCTCAAACCGGGAAACTGCGAAGAGCACCGGGACAGCCTACGAAGGATGCCCGATCGCAGCAGGTGGCCAGAGTGCTAGAGCCAGAGCCACTCCAGGCCTGGCCTTAAGCCCCCCGGCCCCCGGCCCCCGCCCCTCGCTCCGCCCGACCGCCGGAGGGTGGGGGCGGGGGCCCACTTACCGTTTGAATGCAACTCCCCTGCCAAAGTTAGACAGAGAGCTCGTGCTGGTGAGAGTTCGATCCCGAGATCCTGGAGGTCGCAGCCAGACATCCATGGCCCCAAGGAGTCGACGACTGCCCGAGAGCCGTTTGCCGTGATCTCGCGATGGCTCCTGGCACCGGCACCAGGTGCAGGTCCAGCGAGCAGCGAGCTGCAGCGTTGCCAGGCTGCAGAAGGCTCTCAAAAAGGCATCAAACAACAACGACGCGCTCCTTCACTCGTTTGGGTTGGATTAGAGGAGTCGGTTATACCACAACAGCCAATCCTGCTCTTGACCTCCGTCGCCTCAACTGTCGGTCACATTTCCCCCGTTGCTCGTTCAAATTTGGGAGTGATGAGTGTACAACCCCGCACTGTCCTCCGCCCCTCCCTCCATACGTGTTCCAAGTCGGAGGCTTAAGCTGATTGAGCTGGTTGAGCTGAGCTGAGCTGAGGTGGGCGGAGCTGACTTGACTTGACTGACTGACTGATGATGAACGACACCTGCTGCAGCAGCTACTGCGGATGAGCTCAGACGGCATCCAAAGAAGTTAGTTAGTTCATCGTTCCTCATGCCGGTTCGAAAATACATTGAGGCTTGCGGAAGTCGACTGGAGCGGATCGGGAGTGCTGTAGACTGATCTATTCCTTTTCGATTCCATCACCCGAATTATTCACCACTGTGCTCGTTGCTGTTGCTGAGGCTTGCGGAAGTCGACTGGAGCGGATCGGGAGTGCTGTAGACTGATCTATTCCTTTTCGATTCCATCACCCGAATTATTCACCACTGTGCTCGTTGCTGTTGCTGTCGCTGCTGAGACATCGTCGGTCGACATGGGCGAGCTGGAGACGATCATGGAAGACTGTCCTCAGCAGCTGGGGCTCGGCCCGAATCGGGCGATGCGCATCGCCGACGTTTTGGAATCTCCGCGGAAGCAGGAGCATGTGTATCTGCTGGTGGATAGCCAGAAGAAGAGCGTGGCCAGAGTTCAGAAGGTTCCCAAGTTCAAAAAATACGTGGAGAACATCAATGAAGCCAGGATCCACCTCAAGTCCCTTGTTATGAAGAAAGGCGGAATGAGAATGAAGGTAGGCCTCGCTCGCTCGCTCCCTCATCCCTTTCTGTGTCCATCATGCTCGGATCAGATAGATGGCCCAAGCGTCAATTGCCGTCAAAGCTCGTAAAAGTGAGCAATTCTTTAACCATTTCTCGTCTTTTGACTCCATAACAGACAAAGCGTACCACAACACATTCCATCATGTGGCCACCCAAGTACACCACCAACGCCGCGGACGATGCTGAGGTTGCCGAAGACGAAGGGAGGACTCGCAGATTGAATTGTTTGTACTACGCATAAGTGTAGTAGTCTGCGGGCCGTGGCATCACCCATGAGGTTGAGGCTGGCAGGCGGTGGTGGGCTCCTGTGGCCAGCCGCCTGATTCTTTGGCTGGGCTTCTGAAGAATGTGTACAAAGCAGCAGCTGCAGCTGAAGAATAAGGAGAGCAGGATTCGTTAACTGAATTTTCTGTACAATACTTGAGTGATGCGGGTTCGTCTTCATCTTCTCTATGACCATCACCACAACCACCTCCAACACCACCAACATCATCAGAAAACTTAGCCTTATGAGCTATTGCGAGCTCAGTTGGTAAGGTTTTCTCCGTCTGTAAAAATGCCAGCCGATGCCTCGAGCTCGAGCTGAGTCGCCACTCTGAATCTATCGTCTCCTTCTGTCTATTTTTTCCCTCTTTATTCGCCCTTTCAGCTCTTGTCACAACGTGTTCGTGCTGTCCGAGTGATTGCAAAGCTCTCACGTCATGCGGTGAAAGAGAGAGAACCTTTACTCGGTACTTACCAACTCAGACGCAAGCTCTACCTTGCCACTCAACCAGCAGCAGCCTCCTTTGAGATCATGCCGGTTTTTCCCTTGCCCCTTAATTACATATAGAATAGCTTAGTTTAGATCCACTGCCACATATCGATGTCAATCCCCGCAATTTGCAAATCAGTATGACGCGAGGAGCTTCTGACACACCCGCGGGTTTGTCAGCTCTGAGCGTCGGGTAACTCGAGTTCGTCTCACGATGGGTTCCGTTCCGTAGTCGGATCAGGTTCATCAACGTCAGGGCAGAATTTTTCTCTCGCAATTTTCCTTTTTTCCCCTCCTTCCCTCTTTCCAACCGAGGTCGGAATTGTATAGGCAATTTTCTCAGCCTACGGTCGTTCCTGGATCGTAAACTTATGATTGATTTTGGCCGACATTCTCATCGGACCTCTGGGACGACCTGTCAGAGCTGCTAACTTGATTTGTCTTCCTCTTTCATCCTCACACCGGAGGATTATCCAAATTCCTATCTTCGACACGAATCGAACAGAGTGTAGGACTCCCGCAGGATGTAGTCATAGTTGATCTTTAGTCGATCATTCTGATCTAAAACGCTGTTCGACGAATCAATTCGACGAGCACAGACATTTTGCAAGCCAAAATTGGCCGGTTTCTCCGACCTCTCAAAGACGAGGGTCGAAATCTGTGCCGTTTATTTCCGCATCATGTACCTGCTCCTGCGATCATTTTCGTGGCATTTGAATGACAACGGCTTCCGCTTGCATGCACATCAGCTCTTTTCTTTCCAGGCATTTGAATGACGGCTTCCGCTTACAAGCATACCAACGATTTTTTTCGTGGCATTTGAATGACAACGGCTTCCGCTTGCACGCACACCAGCGCCTTCTTTCCAGGCATTTGAATGACGGCTTCCGCTTACACGTATACTAGCGATTTTTTTCGTGGCATTTGAATGACAACGGCTTCCGCTTGCATTCACATCAGCGCCTGTTTTTTTGGACTTTGAATGACAACGGCTTCCGCTGGCATGCACGCCAGCGCCAGTTTTCGCGGCATTCCAATGTCAACGGCTTCAGCTTGCATGCACACCACACCGACTAAGCTCCCCACGCTGCCCCGTGTTATGTGCTGGTCTCGCTCAGGGATTTCTTCTTATCGTTAATCTGATTCCGTTCTTTCCTTCGATTTCGCAAGCTGCTGATCGACCGATGTCAGTGACAATGGGCCTCCATAACAGAACCATGCGTGACCGGAGAAAGTCCTGCTCGGGGTAATTGTCGGCTCTCTTAGAGGCGTGTAATGGCGGACAAGAGTCATGCAGCGAGAAATCTACACTGTCTTGTCAGCACTTCGTCGATCTCTTTGGTCTTCTATGATGACAGGAACCGAGCCGATGCGAATGCAGGTCAATCCACTCTGTAGACTCATACGGTGTCATCTGATAGTAGTTTTTTTCCTAAGGCAGCATTGTCTGAACGCTTGAACGCTGCTGTCAATCCACATCGATGGATGTTGAACACACACGAGACAGTGTCGTCTGCCGGAGACCAGGTGAGAGGGTGTATTCCCCGACCCATAGAGAATGCTTTACCATTGACCATGCAGTCAATGACTGCGTAATAAAGGCTGGGAAAGCAAATTTTGGACGATTGATGAGTTCTAAAAAATTGAGATACTGCATTGAATGATTCCTTTGATTCTCACTTATATTCAAGAAACTTAAATCACTCGCACGGCGTGTAAAGAATGGCTGATGTGAATGTTCATAAATTTGACCCGCAACTTAAGGCAATATGCATGTCCTTCCAACATGCGGGTACCGGCACAAGTGGTGCTTTCCAAAATGTCTGCATAATGCTCCGTGTAGAAGGTTCGAACCCATTGAAAAACCAAATGCATGACTTGGAATACTTAAATGCACGGGCGTCTTGGGTCAAGCAGTACGGAACTCGGTGACCGAGTTAACTGCAGGGCTCCAAATTCATTGCGCTCATGTGATGTTAACACGAACGAAGTCCTCTTCCCAGACGGAAATGGTACCGCATACACTTCCGTGGGGTCTGGTGGAGTGCTTCCATGCCATGTGACTCATACATCATGAACTAACTCTATCTCAAACACATCGGAATCTTCATATCTTCGTCCCATGGAACCTTAATCGACGGACGTACCCTCTTATTGGCTCGAGTGCTCGACCTGTAACTTCTGTTCCGATTCGATACTCGAAGTGAATTTCGTGTCATTTACTACGAGTGCCGTATACGTCTTGTCTGGGTGCGTCCATCGATGTCCGGAGGGTGGAGTTACTGAAGTCCAGGATTGTCAGCAACAAGGAGGAGTAAGGAATCGAACGTTCGAATAAAATCCAGTGGACAATTGTGTGCAAATTCAGACATTCTCTTACAAGAAGCCGGATCGATGACCAGGGATGGTTGCTTGTTGCGTTACAGAGTTTAAAGACCACCGACGAATTGCGTTGATGATCGGAATCACACAGAGCGTCGCGTTCATCCTTCTTGTCCGTGGACATTTCAGGCGGACGGGATCAGAGAAGAACCGAATCCACAATAAATGAAGTTCACTGTGTCGTCCATTCAAGTTTCATCTTGATCGGTCTGACTGAACATTGGAAACGGAATATTTTCGAGGCTTGAGCAGCTCAACTTGCATTCGGAAGGCTCTCATAAACCTGTGTCCTCGCTTTCATGAATGCTTGGTGCGGGTATCAGCCATTGCAGTCTACTGTCAGGAGGTAGCTTCCTCCAGCTGGAAGCAAGTTAAATTTCCCGGTAAGACTGACTGACTGAACGTAGTACTTCCGGTCCTGTAGATATTGCAGAGGCCAGAAAGCACGTGCCGTCTACCGGTGGCCTGCTTTGTTGCTAAAATTTTGCGATCGTGGCTCAAGTCCTAAACCCGAGGCCTCTGCGTTGCGTTGAAATTTTGGGACTTGGGATGGAGGCACATGCTCTTTGATTTGTCCTCTTCTTTTGAATGGTGCATCATGTTCTTTCTTGTCAGGCCAGTTTGAGGGACCACCGTTTCTGTATTTAATTTTCGGATCCGGAGGTGGATGCTTACTTAGTGCAAATAAGCCCTTGGTATGTAACCACGTAAAAATCATTCCACATCTTCGTCTTGTGACCATTGATCGAGTTTTCATATTTCGCTTATCTGTGTCTGTGTGAGAGAGAGAGAGAGTAAAGCAATGAAATCGACTAGTACACTTCTTTGATAAGTCCTCATCGTTCGACCCCAAACGTATAGTTGACCGGACATCAAACTTGGCACTTCATTTCAATCAGCCTAGATTTATCTACATCTTCTACTTGCTCAAAATTTAAATTTATATCATACGGCACTATACTTTTCTTATTAATGTCATCGGTAATGCTATCTCTGAAGTGTAAAGCGACTTGATAGAAGTGTGCTTACATCACTCCAGTCGAGAAAGCAACCAAGTAGCACCAACATCATTAGAGTGCTCAAGCAAGCAAACAAACAAAACATGAGACCTTTCGTATCACGTAAAGGAGTCAATCTAACTACAAATCAACGACAAATACACACAGAGCCAAGTGAACATATTCGAATGTATCCGAACGTCGAAAGTAGGTTTTGGAACTGGGATTTTGCCCTTTGACATAACCCTTCGGCCAATTATGCTTAGGGAGGAGTTCTTTCTAACGCATGTGTAGCTACACCATTTCTTTCTGGTTGGCGGTGAGGCCCACTGTTCGCAAGAAATGCCAATGTTTTTTCACTTGCCATAGAAGGAAATCAAATGATGAATTGACACACATATATATCTCCGTGGCCTTTAGTGATTTCTCCAGTTCATCTCCAGGCCGATATTTTCTTGACCTGAAGGTTAAAACAAAGTTCCAACCCAATGTCCGACTTTATGTCATGTGATGCTTAAAACGAATTTAACATTAAAGGGTCGGATCTAGCAAAGTTCGGCCAGAAGGCCAGATCTCTATGTGGACCCAAAACAAGTTAGATCTGACATTCAGCACAACGATGACTCAGGCCAAACATATGTGATGCGTTGATGATTGTCATTGGTCTTTTAAGTTATTTTTATTTCATAATGGAGAGGGTGTTGTCTATTTCTAGAAGTATAGACACAAATATTTGTTTTTCTAACCAAGGTTTCGCAGCCAATGAGCATAACTGGAATCATAAGTAAATTTTTTATGTGTGAAGACAAAAAAATACTTCATGCAAATAGTAATTGGTCCATCTCATTGAGGCTATAATCATAGCCATTAGATACATATAGATACATTTTGATGTAAATAGTCCAAACGAAATTACTCAAGATTTAAAAGGAAATGAAACCGAAGTTGTAAAAATCGATAACATGGTAAGATTTAAATATTGTTGAAAAATTTGAACCGATAGAGAATATTGTGAAGTAAAACTCTATCTTATGAATTTTCATGAATGCAAATTTTTCAGTTGTTCGTTCACGTTCAAATCCACGTTCATTGAATTCATTTCAAAATTTTTCTGTTTGAAAATTCCTATAAATCAAATCATTTGGAATTATTTAAAAAACAGTGTATTATTGTCTGCAAAATATTCACTAATCATAATAGTTAATATAACAAGAAAGTTAAACATGTTAAAAAAATTTACTTTGAAATAAATATGTATTTATCATGATATATATATATATTAAATTTATATTTTAAAAATATATTTTATTTTTTATTATTAAATCCATTTTTTAATTTGATTCTGCATATATATATCTCGTCAAAAAAAATAATAATACATATTTTATAATATTGCAAAAAATTTTGATCACACTAATTTCTTAATTGCTATAACACTCTAGGTGTTTCATTGTAAAATAATTTTAAAAACATATTTGATTTAAAGTCAATTTTAGCTTCAGGGATTCAATGATCAAAATGATCTATTATTCATCTTGTCAAGGATTTGGCTTTAAAAAATTAATCCTAAAGCAGTGCTAATTCACAAATCTATATCTGTGTTATAATTGTAAACAAATCGATCAATCTAATGATTCATGATTATTGAACAACACTTAAAAAAAAATTAGATAAAAATCTTGTCAATAATACTTACACTTTATATTTAAAGATTTTATCCCAAGATTCAATGTAATCTCACATTGCTTCACAAAACATTAGAAAACATTTTTGCATTGTATTTCTATCAAAACTCAGATTTTTTTGTAATAAATTTATGCTTTGTTGTTAAGCAATTTTCTGTTCTTCTTAATCTATTCTACATGAATCACATAATTTGTTTGTTGATTTTGTTGGCAACGCTTGTACTTGTGTATTAAAACAGAATATATAACTTAAATATTAGAAGAACAAAGATATGACTTTCTTGCATACTCTTATATCTCAAAATCTTGGCTGTTTTATCTCATTCTATTTGTTATTCGTATGTGAAGATAGATGATTATCATGTCACAAAATTTCAAAATTTCATAAAATTATTACATGTACGTGAATATGTGCAATTATCAAATAAAATTACATCTGAATACAATAGATATGTATAATATCATGAAAAAATCTTATATGGTTGTAATTTTGAAAATTTTAATCTGTTAAAATCTCAATAGTTTCTCAAAAATGAGGTTTTGTATATATTGAATATATAATCTTTTTTACATCAAGTTATATTGAATCTATAAGAGATATCTTCACTGATTTATATATAAATATAATAATATTTAATCTTGATATTCGTATGAATTTTAATCGGTGCGTAAATAATTAAAAAAATTACAAAATAAGGTTTAGGTATTTTTTGGCAGTATTTTGTAGTTTATATTTAAAGATTTTTTTTAATGAAATACAAGTATGTTCAATTCTCAAATTTGTAAGACTTAATCTATGTTTTAAAAAGCACAATTTTGTCTCACGGAGCTTTCATACACAAAAATTAAACTTTGATTAGAATGCTTTTTCATGAAATTTTTTTATAAGAATATTTTTATCTTTTATATCTTATCTTATTTATATCATTTCGCTATCATATGAATATATGATAGCAAAACAATCATTAAGTTAAATTACATAGCTGCTAACGACCAATTCAGTTAGAATGCTATTATACCCCTTAGAAAGGACAAAGTGTTAGCCTAGGATCACATATGGTAAAAATGACATAATCACATCTGGAAGAGATTTATTTATTTTAGTTTCGAAATTTATTTGGAAGAAACGATTATTTATATACAAGTTCGATTAAGCATCGGAAAGTAAATGATTGTAATCTGCTCTTTCACTCAACAAACGTGAATTTTCATTTCATCCTAAGAGACTTTTTAGATAATAATTTTTTTTTGGAATAATGGCTTCTCATATGTTTTTTCTCAAGCCTTAAATTCCACGATTGAGATTTGTGATTGAGCTAATAATCATGCTTTTGTAGGACATACCGGAGAAAGAAGAAGGTTTAGATAATGCTGAACAAAATACATTTACGGTCATAATTATTCAAAGTACTTGAAATCATTAGCTGTAACTAGGACACAAGTCCTAACAGGTGAAGGTTTTCATTTTCTCGATCTCGGCTGATGTAAAACAAAACCCGCTAAAGACACTCAAGCTCATCGAATTGCACAAAAGTTAAACGATTCATGGAATTTCATCCAACCTTTAGGCTTTTAGAAGTTTGCATGAATGATCAGAATGTCGTGCTTAGACGTATACATGATGAGGTTAGGTCTTCGGTGGCTTCGATTTTCAAGGGAATGAGCTCTTCAATTGCGATAGGTTGATAAAAATACCAATTCGAATCCATTTGACAAACAATTTTGAGTGATTCTATTGCCAAGGTCGGACTTCACTATTGGGCGTTCTTGACAAATCTTGAAATTCCACTAAATTCTTGCACACCGTTGATTTCGTTCCACTGTGCTTAGAACGTCATACTCCTTGCAACCTTGAGCTTGAACATTTAATGATTGAAGATGAGACTGCTTTCCTCGTAGAAGCTTTAGACAAATAAATACGTCTTGGCATTGAATAAATTCATCTCTCTTTTCTCAGCATACTGACTAGAACAGGGCCCCAAGCTTCTGCAGCAAAGAACACAATAAGTGATTGGTTGTAATATATAATGTGAGGATCGTAAATCTTCTACTCTACACTTGCATACACTTCTCCTTAACAACTTGGAATGGGAAGACTGCTGGTTGACATTCATGAATTTTGATGGAGGAAAGTCATTACATTGCACAGTCTCCTCATCTGTGTTACAGATTGTTTCTAAGCCAGCCAATAATGCAATTTGGTTAGGAAAAATGTAAAATTTAGAAACTGGTCGTGGAAATCGAATTTATATTTTGTAAAAATTACTACTGACCAACAAAAATCGAAAATTCCGAGGTCAGGTCGCCTATATTTCTCTTGATAGGTGACTCATCCTTTCACGAACTCTCCTGAATTTTATTCCATTGTCTGTGTGCTAGTAACAGGAAGACGAAAAACTCTGTAAAGGAAAAACTGTATCGTTCCAATGTAGCCACACATTGGTCAAACATTTACACCAAGAAGATGACATGACGGTAGACGATGGTGCATGAGAGGAGTTCACTCTTCACGCAGTCACAAATGGATAAGATCTCTGTTACGGCTGGTTCGTAGTATTGCAGAAGCAACATATACTAACAACTTTGATCAGTTTCCTCCTCCAAGCAGGAATCTCATCGTCTGAGATGTTCCCTGGCAAACTAAGACTTTCATAGTCTTCTGAGATATTACTCAATCGTCGGTGGACTCTTGGTGGGACAAGAACTTGTGGACATTCTTGTACATTCCCTTGATGACTACCGCTAGCCTCTCCTGTAGATACTTGATGACTACCGCTAGCTTCTCCTGTAGATACTGACACACTCTCTTCATGACTGGTTGTAGCATATTGTGAAGAAGTCTTGGGGTTCAGAACCTCTAACGCAGGTATCTTTGCCTTTGAGGTGTTGTCGTCTTTGCTGCTTGAACTGGCCTCTTGTGGAGATGTCTTCGGATCCACAACCTCAGTAGCAACCGCCTTTGTCTTGGAGTCGTTGTCATCTTCGGTGCTTGAACTGGCCTCTTGTGGAGGTATCTTCGCATCCGTGACATCAATTGCAACTATCTCTTCCTTGGAGTCGTTGCTATCTTTGCTGCTTGAACTGGCATCTTGTGAAGAAGTCTTTGAATCCACAACCTCATCTCCAACTTTATTTGGCTTTAAGTCGGTCTCGACTTCGCTCCTAGAACTTCGTTCTTGTGAAGAAATATTTGGATTCTCAAACTCCACCGTCTTACCCTTCGAGGCATCGTACTGTTCGCTACTAGAGGGTTCTTGACATTCTGCTGGATCATCATCATCGACATTTACTATTTCCATGGATCCAAATCCTGGAGGAAGATCTCCAACTCCTTGAACAGAGTTGCCATCTCTAGGCTCACCCTCCACTCTACTCTGTCCCACTTTCTTCTCCCCAGGCTGATCAGTAAATTGTGAAGACTCCCTAGTGGTATCCTCGCCAGTGGCAAATGCGCTGGATTGGGATGATTCTCCTTTTGTATAAGTAGATTCAGACTTAGGAGAGGTTCGAGGTCTGGGACGTATTGTTGGTCTCCTCTTAGGTACTGGAGCTGGAGGAGGGACCTCGATAGAAGGCTCTTGGTGAATAGGAGCTTGTGCAGCCGCCCTCCTTTGCATTTCTAACCTACTCGGGCCTTCAGAAAATCGAAATCCAAATCGGTGGTCCGTATTTGACTCAGCCGCTACAATTGACGTCCAGATTTCGTCCAAAGACCTGGCTGGTGGTGCTATGGGCTGAAGCCGCTTTTCCGAGCTTCCTGAACTGACATTATCCCCAAGAGATTGCTCTACTAAAACTTGCTTTAACCCAACCCGTGTTTCGTCACTCACACTCCGCTCAGCTTCTCGTTTTCCTCCACTAGACGAAGGCTGACCCGGGTCAAATGTAGCCTTGCTCCCACCTTCCTCGCTAAGCTCCTTCTCCTTCTCCTCCTCCTGATGACCACGACCGGACACCTCCTCCTTGTCTTCTCCCCCATGGTCTCCCTCGTCAGCTGGAGTCTTCCCCTTGGAGCCCGGGCCAGAAGGCCCCGTCTGACCTTGCATCTTTCTCGAGAAAAGCCCAAAAGTCACTCTGCCACTTCTGCCACTTCTGCAAGCTGCCACTGGAACCACGGAACTTGTGCAAATCACGCCCTCCCTAAGACATCAAACAACTTGTCATGAAACTCCAGATTCTGAACACTGGCACCGTCCTCTGCACAATGTCAATCCAGAATTGCAAGGACGTCGAGCATTTTCTTCCCTCCAAATCTTCTTCACGACCAGACTGCAAGAGACTGCCACCGATTGCTGCCACCAAGATTTCGAACGACGGGAGGGATTGCCCCGACGGTCCCAAACGCATAACGGTCTGATACCACGGATACCATGTCTCTTTTAAATTTTGAGTTGCGCCAGGAAATACATTCAAATTGACATAGATAAACTTACTTCTATACAATTTAGTAACTTAACTTAAGTTTTAACGATACTTTCAAACGAGTTGAAAATGCTATCTTAACTGAGGATCAGAAGTTCAAAATAATGAATTTTGTATATGGATTCTGATGTTCTCGAATACAATCACCTGTATGACTTAGATTACGTATGAAATATTTATTTTGTCTGAAATATCCTAAAGACATTTATTTGAACTGTATTACAGAGAGATTTATTTTCACAAGAAAGACATACAAAATATTTCACATAGATTGCTACGTACATAGGGATGAAATAACACATTCGGAGTTTAGCCTTGCTCTCCAAGTTTAATCAAAAGTGGTTTCGCTACACGCTAATTAGTTTTTGGTACTATCTCGTGTAAGATCATTACAAAGTGCATTACACTAATTACATCTTCGGAGCAATAATATAGGGCTAAGAGTAATTAAGGTGCAAAGTACGGTATCTTGGCATGATATCACTTTAACAATGGAAGCCCCCGTGCTATCCAGTTCAAATTATCCTCCTCCATCATCCTCACGAGCTTCCCTCTCGAATCCAACACCCAAAATTCGAATCTCCTCTCAAAAAATTGGTCTTTATCTAGTCCTCAGATCAGCTCTAAAAGGGCAAAAGGCGCGCCGGGGAAAGGACGCTCCACGTCATGGCCGAAGATAAGATGCACATTTTTGCATGTGCACTATGTTATTTTTGCACCAATTACGAAGGTTATTGTGCTGTCAAAATCAACAGATTTCCAACAATTGCTTGTATAGTTTGAAATTCGGTTTATATGGGAGTATCATACTTAACATACTACTTGCAGTATTTCCTTGTTTATTACCAAATCTTTTTGGAGAATTATTGCGAGCAACGTATATTTACCTGCGTAAGATACATGAATTATATCCATCTTTGAATGCAGGTTTCATAATATTATATCATATATCTCAAACTACGTAGGTTATTTATGAAATGCATAGATCCATCTTTAAATGCAGATTTATGGAACTGTTATATTTTCATGTTCACACTACATTGCAGTGTGAACAATTTTAATTTTAATTAGATACATATAATCATACATGTGATAAGGTTTACATTAGATTCGGATCATGTGAATAACTGGTAGTGTAAATTAAATGAGACTCGGAAGATAATTTTAAAAGATAAATCTGAAATATTCCATTTAGTTGTTTTTTTGCATTTAATTTTTTGAAAAGTTAACAAGTTTTTATGCTTCTATAAATTTTTATTTATTTTTTGGTTTGATTGATTGATTTAGCTCAATTAAGATATTCACTTTACAATTCTGCAATAAAATAAAATTTAATTCATTTCTATTCTACCAGTCTAGTTATTTCGTATTAAGAATTATATCAAATCATTTGAACAACGCAATATTGGGATTTATATAGAGTTGTATCATGTACTCGATGAAAAATACCAACGTACAAACAATCAAGATAGAAAAACATCTTGATGAGAAGATTGAATTCAATCTACAGCAATAGAGAGTATTAGATGATGATATCACTCGAAGTAGATTATTTTTTCAGTTTATCACACAAACTGAAAGCTACATTAATGGAAATAAATAATTTATACCATTTGATAAGATATTGAAGATGCTAAAACTATATTTGAAGTTGTAACATATATTGAAAAGGTATGATGATCCATAAATATTGTAATTTTTAAATCCAAAAATGAATCTAATTGGATTAACATTGTATAAATATTGTCACAGAATAATCAATTAGCCAATGGATTGAACAAACATAGCAAAAAAAATGCAAATTTAATATCTTTTGAAAAATTCTTGAAAACATTGCAAGGCCAAATCTGCATTGTGTAAGTGGTATTTTTTTTTCTTTGTGAACAAAGACATGGGTTAAAATTAGTCCTTGTAATTATATGGCTATTAGTCTCAGCTCAATCTTTTCTTCAGTTGTTTGATATTACGATACATCTACTTGCACTTTTGCTATAATCTATCCTGCAATTAAGATTGCTTTAATGTATTCATAAATTGCAGTACTGCAGTAAATGAAGAAGTGTGATTATTTTTAGTAATTTCAACAAATATGATCATTAAAATTTTTTTCACAATTTTTTTAACTTAATTATTATTTCAAAATACAATTGAAACGATTTACATATTAACGTGAATTTATTATAGAGAAATTTATAATTTATAAGTTAAAGATAAAAAAATGTTCATGTGAAGTACCATGATACTAGGTTTCATGCTGACATTGATACTTATAACATTCAAGCCTAAATCCAATTAGGAAAAAAAATATTTTCATTAAAAAAAGAAAATCTTGTGAGTGCATTAAACAAACAAGGCTGTTTAATTTTTTGATCTTCATGCAGTTAGATAAATTTTTTTTATTATCTCGTTGTGTCAGTATAGTCAATAATTTATTAATATTTGTATTTCTTTCTATTTTTCTTTTCTGGACCAAGCTTTTGACAGGCTCTGTAAACAATTTTGTCCAAAGCTTTGAAACTGGAATCCTGATAACATCCAGGGCTCGTAAAACTTCAGCCGTCCCAGAACTAAAGCAAGAAATGCTTGAAGGAGAATATCAATTCTAGCCTGATGTAATGCTGAGGCAGTGATTGATAACAACAGAGAGTGAGCCAAATGAGACTTTTCTCTAAATCTCACTGACCTTCTGCATTTGACTCCATAAAGCAAGGTACTGTACATCCAAGTCAACCATCAGGCTATCATGGCCAAATGAAAGAATCTGACTTTGATTACTTTTGTCACTGCACAAGAAGAAGCAGGAAGTTACTCAAGAGCCGAGACCAGCAGAACAGATTGCCAGTTGGACTCCTGAGGAAGTAAGTGAGTATGATAAATTTTAGGAGGCTCGAAATTGAAAGGCTAAGTGGAATGTGGTATCATGATTTGGAGCATCATACGTTCAGATCCAAATGCATTTGATCTTAACTTGTGGAATTCATTTGTGGTTCCCTACTTCGTTCCTGAGGGTGGAGGCTGAGTCTGACAAAGCTCAAATGTTTACTCGGTGAATTGTTGTTAGTTATTGGTTCCTTCTGTTGCCCGAAAGTTGACGTGCTGAGCTCCATCTGAACTCTCCTGACGTGGACTTGGCTCTCTGCCTGCACATTTGGATCTTACAAACACGGTTTCAACATACTTTTATCATCAAGTGGCATTGCAAAATGAATATTTGTAGTTATCGAATATAACAAATTCATATCTATAAAAGTTCTATACTTTCATCATTATTGCAGGATGAGGTTCTACGCATGGCAGTCGTCAAGAATAAAGCGCAAGGTTGGAAGCAGAATGGTGATTTTGTATGAATTTGAGGGAGGTGACTTTGAGTTTTACTGGTAGCTTTTTAGTGTCAAAAGCTGACAACATGATTGCAATCTACGTGGAAAGCCTTGCGAATTAACTCCAACTGATGGCATTTGTAGCTGCGACTTTGCGGAACTGAACAGATACTGCGTGTTCTTATCGTTGACGAAATGTGCTCAATCCAGTTCTTCAGAATAGATTCTGGAAGAAGGTTAGTCATACAAGGAACTTTCTTGCTATACTGCGTTCGAAGTTTCGATTTGAGACATCCGCAAACTCCATATTCGTGAATCTGGACATGAATTTAAGTAACTACATTGACAGGAGACCAGACGGTAGCTGAAATGGTCGGTATGTTCGGCACGAGCTGCTGAGCTGGAATAGCTCGTTGTCTACTGAGCAGAAACGTGAAGCAAATTCTAGGAAGGTATGCATTATTTTTAAGTAGTAATTATGTTTATAGGTTAAGCTAGTCCGAGCTGTTTGATGATACATGATCGTAGATGTTTACATGTACAAACTTGACAGCTACTGAAAGTTGTACATGTTAGATAAGAGTCGTGTGAAGAAGATTCTGGTCCTTTAAAGGGCCTCTTCAACCCCAAGATCAACACAACCTTCAGAAACAGTTTACGTCTAAATAGCGTAAAATAGTACAGATGTGCCACATTTAGCACAGGACTTGCAATATATATGAAATGAGATTTCTTTAGGTGTAATATGCATAACATTACAAAGGCTTGCAACAAAAACATTCACCATTGATCTTTGTGAGCTGCTACTATGTTGGTTCATAGATTGTGCAATTAACATGGACTGTGGCCGAAGATATGATTCTGAATTTGGGTCGACAAAGGTTTGGAGATATGTAAGCTACTTCCTGGAAGGTAACTTCACGACATCCGCAAGCGTCTAAAACATATCATAAATCCTAATAATGTTAAGGGTCGAATCTTCTTGTAAGACTCTCTCATAGAAAAAAATTTCATCGATCCTATCTCCAGGTTCGTAAACGGCAATCACAACAGGTGGAATACTACCCTGAAGAAAAAAAGCAAAAGACTGGAAGCATACAGAGCTAATTATATCAAACAGAACCAATGGTGGGGCGATCTGTCACTTACAAATGGCCAGGCCATCGAGGATTTGGAGGTGGTCGAGGACCTCTTAGTACTGAAAGTACTAAACTTGACTTTTCAAGCTCAGTATTCGACTGCGGCTGAGGACCTATAGCCAGTGCAACAGGAGCAGCTCAATGAGAACAGGGGCAGGATCCGATATCATGATGCTTCTGCTGACAGCACTCAGACAGACGAACTCCCCAGTATTCACACTGCTGAACATATGATTTTTGAAGCCGTTCCTCTGCACTCAAACAAAGTACAGATGCAATTTCCACTGCCACAATATTTTCGATTTGAAAGGAATTGATTGTTCTACTAAGGGGATCCACTGTTGTTGGGGTACTAGAATTTTTTAGCTTTACATCAGATCTGGTATCAAGAGTATTCGAAACATCCGCTCTGAAGATATGTCCGCTGAGATATTGCAACCGTTGGTGTGCTTTTTCACAAGCTTCTTGCTCGTAGCTTCACTGTTTAATCCTGCATATACGAGAAATGTATACTTCATGCAACAACTTATAGATCCGGTATCCGTTGAATCTACATGTATCACATATAAAGAAACTGTCTCAATATGTATCAGAATAAATAAGAACTGATGTAAACAACCTGAAACTGAAATAGCCATGGCTATTCTGTGCAAGTACACTAATGAACTGATTAAAGTCATATTTTTACACTATCTGTAATCTATCTATACTTTAAGTTGCATTAAAACCAGTATCTGCATTCAGGTCGATGAATCAAGAACAAGATTACGTTGATACGCAATTCTGTGACAACCTTTTCAACGGTGAGATCGACAGCGGTTGCAAGAACGGCACATTACAAATTTCCTGTTTTTATCAGTAGTTCATCTTGAGAGTTTTATTACTGTATTGTAGAGAAAAAACCATAAATAGTTTTCAAACAGGAGAGTGCAAGAGAAGGAGTGTGCCGCTTATATGACAACAGTCGCAAGAATATCAACAGCTAAACTTTAGTACCCTCTTGACAACTGCTGCCCTTGAAAAGTGTAATCACGAAGAAAGTGGATGTCATGAGAAAAGTCATAAATCTTCGACGCTGCATTCATGCAATGCAAGGCTAGAAGATTTGCATCCAAAGGATGTGCTCTCTTAACTTCCAAAGCCAAGTCTGGAATTAGAGATTGTGAAGTTGAACATGGACGAAATCAGACTCATTATCTTGTATTGTATTTTTGTATCATGTGTTCTATTCCTTATACTACGGTGAATCAGAGACATAATGTTCAAATGTTCATAATTCAAAAGTTCAGTCTAATTTTAGCTTAGATAAAACAGTTTGATACAACAAGCAAGTTTGGAGACGAAAATCTCTAGAAACTAAGAGATGACAAACCTTGATTGATCTAATGCAAAAACATATTAGCAAGATAAAATATGAAAAATTGGAAGGTTGTAAATTTAGTTTTAATTTTTGTTTTCATATATTTCACAAAAAGTTGATGTCAAGATTATTGTATGATAAGACAATATAAAAACTCATGAGAGTTTTTTATGTCTTATTATAATGTATCATGTTATTAAATGGAAAAAATTCTTGAATAATTTCAGGATTAGTCCGGGCTTCATTCCACAACACAAATGTGTTTTAATTATAACTACACTTAGTTTTAATAAATGCAATTTTTTTTTGGAAAATGAACCTTTTAAATAATACTGTCTTATTAATAAATCTTTTACAAAAATTTATAATTGCAGCCTATATGGATAACTTCCTTCAATTCTCTGCAAAATTCAACATCTTTAAATCTTAAATCCACTGTTGACGAAAATCCATCCACATTCATTTGGATGAATTATGCGATTTCCTTACAGTAAATTTGCATGCTATTCATGAAGTCACAGAAGGATTCTACAAAGAAACTGCAAAATCAAAACAATATTTCTTGGTGTAGACTCTATAATTTCACAAGACAAGAGTATCATCACTCTCCGCGGGGCCCAGACAGCTGAACTTCTAAAAAACTCAGCCAACATCCAGCTAAAAAGAATAAAATTATTCAAAGAATACAGCATTAATATAATCTAAGAAAACTACCATCAGGCTTAAAACTTAAGAAGTTACATAATTGTCGTTTACCCGTTGTAAAAGAGAAGAAAAGACTCAAAGAATGAGCGGGAACCTATTTGGATGAAACTCAATTTGCAAGAGTACCTGATCCCTCTATGACTATCTTCATTAAGATATAATTTGCGAACGATGAGGTCCCTCACTGCCTTTAATTCTTTGTCAATTCACTCTCGTCGCAAGATTGTCGATGCCTCAAGTTTTAGCAATAGCACTATTGTCATTAGTATTCCGAGGATTACATCTATTTCCGCGAGATTCTTTCACTAGTTTCTTATTTTATCCTGGGGCAGCTTCCATTAACGTTTATATTGAGAGTGAAATTCTAGAATCAAATAACATGTAAATTCTGAGAATTGGAAAGAATCAAATACACTGCAAGACACTTTCCTAAGTGTGATATAATTGGAGCAATGAAATTCCTTTTTATGCCTCTTTCTCAGGAAATAGATGAGATTCAAAGTCCACATAGTTTCACAACCTTATTAATAGCAAAAATAGCACAATCGATAGAATTGCACAGTGAACGTTCATGGCGGATAATTTTCAACGTTTATTCTATAGCGAACTTGCTGATTGTTCATAACAGAGAAACTCTACTTGGTATTTAGATTCCAGGACAGCCCGAATCTGAATTCCCAGAAATTAACTGCATCATCAAGCGGAGGTGCTGCCACCAACTCAAGTGGTGAGTGAACTTTGTTGGTTTCATCTAAACTGATAGCTGGGCTTCAGTTCATAGTATTTCACGGGGAAGCGAGTGGATTTAGACCAGGTTCAAAAACAAAGGGTTCCACCTCCATACGTTCTCGAGAAGAGAATTCGCAGAAGGGGGTGTCAATCGAGATCCAAACATTAGCGTCCACATCATAACGAACTGTTCTACTTCTGAAATATATCTTCTGTACGCCACAATCTGGATCTGTATATACAGGGGAATTACACTCTGTGATGAAAATGGAACCACGACTTGAGGCAAAACTTATTTTCTCGAATGTTGAGAAATGTTCTATCTTGCAGGTGGAGACGGCGATAGACTCAGAGGACACCGGATCAATGTGAAATACTGTCGCTATAGGTGGGACATACGAGGTGGCACATATGTGGACCGATACGCACATTAACCTAGAACCACAAAGAAGCACAGCGGTTTCCATATACATGGAACTTACATTTCGCCTGACCGTGATTTCGTTGATAGCTCCATTCTTGATGTTCAACTGCAAAACCTTTATATCTTGCTCTCTATTTCCAGATATGGGCTTTAGAAGATACAAAATGCCATCTTTGTAAGCAAAATTTCTACCTTCTACTAATATTCTGTACCTTGGCATGAAGGCGCGTTCAAAGATGTATGACCTCGTTGTATGGTCCTCGGAGACGGATTTATATACACTGATGGAAAATTTCACAGGGATACTCTTTGAGAAGTGACAGATGATTATTTCATAGTGTTCAGCTCCCACAGAGAATACCATGGGCTGAAGCCTTGTTTCTTCCAAGTTAGAGAACCGCACAAGGTTTCTCTGGCATGTCACCTGGTTGATGACAGTTGCTAGTGCTCTGTGGTCTTGAAACACCGCCCGAACCAGCAAAGCTCCTTGACGTCTCACATCTAGGGTTTGATCTTTCCCTAGACCAATCTATCTGCCCCAATATTCTGAAGCGTCCTTCGGCACAATCGTATCCAACCCTGTACCGAGTTGAACCATCACCGATTCCTCTTCTTCCTGATCTCGACATGACCTTCAAAATGTAAAGCGGGCAATATGTGGGCCATGTGCGAGATGCCATACTCACCACTGTTCGAAAGTTCCTGTTCCATTCTGTGGATAACTGCCTCACTTTGAGAATTTCAGGAAAGGGGATGCTCCCAAAAATTTTCTCCAATAAGTGCTTTGGAAAGTCTTCTTGTTCTCCCATCGTGCTCGGCATACCAAGAATGTGCAGTCCACCTTCAAATTACAGGTTGTAGTATCCTAGCTAAGCACGGCACAAAGAAAACGTGAAAGATGTTATGAAATTACAGTAGGATAGAAAGCTTCATCCAACACCCGCGATCTGGTAACATATTTTAATGTCCATCGAATACAAACAAGTCATTGAAATTTTCATGCACGAAAGAAAGAGGGTTGTGATAGACTTTTCTATGAAAATTGAAGTATATATAAAAACTCCGTAGATACCTCTATTTCTGAGCCTTGTTTTCTTTGGAAGTGAAACTGAAGGAAAACGCCTCACCGAATTGGCAGATGTGCTATTTCGGAAACGCTAATGCAACACTGAACCTCCTTCTCACACACGATTTCGACACCAATCTTCGATATCATCACCAATCTCGTTAGATCTTTGCATCAGTTGATCCTTCAAAGTCCGTCAGTAGATCCTTCACAGAGTCCAGTTAAATAACGGAGGTGGAAAAGGATCAACGGGCAAAATGCCATCCATGGGGAAAAGGCATTTCTCGTCTACTCTCCACACACTTAATTAAGTATCAGGATCAGCAGCGCGATGATCTCCTCTCCTTCCATGGTTCCTCAGGCTCACCGCTGGGCGACCTGGTGTTATTCATGTATTTTGATAAACTAATTTCACATAAATATATTTAAAAAATTACTTAAATGTGTAGAATTTGAATTAATTACACTATTAAGTAGGTAACATTATATTTTTAATTCTTTCAAATTAAATTCATATGATTTTTATTACTCAACTATTATAAATCTACATTTGAGTTCTAACTTTTATCTAATAATCAAATTAACACTTCTTAATCTTAATCCTTAACTTTTCATTTTACTCTAATCGTGTAAGTTATTACTCTGTTCTAATAATAAAACTCATACTACTAAACCTTAATGTCACGTCCTACTCTAGTCTTGTCAGTTACAAAGATTTCATCAACAATCTCAAGGGATCTTTATTTATACATTCAGTGCTTTGTCAATCATTCAACATTATTATTGAATTTGAATTTCGCTTCAGGGTGGAGCTTTAAATTTATGCGCAGTTTTGAAATCCATTAATCTATCAATTTATGTTATTCTTTAGATTCATTTCAGAGAAACCTTCGTAGCATTTGATATAGGATAATAGTTTTAACTAGGTTTTAAATATGCCATGCGGAAATAGAGTTTCAGATAGAATATAAGTTGAAATTAATCCATCATGAACGTTCACTGTGCAAATTTTGCTAATAATGAGCGTGTGAATTCATGTGGACTTTGAATCTCTATTATTTCTTGAAGGGAATTGCCTTAAAAAATGTTGCATCCAGAAAAGAATAAGGTAGAAACCTGAGAAAAAGGCATAAAGAGGTTTTGAGTTGCTCTAATTTTATCACATTGAGGAAAGTGTCTTGGAGTTTTATTACCATATGAATTGATCTTTCACTTTCTCATTGGAAAAGATATGTCTTATCAATTGCAGCGACAAGCAAATCAATATTATTACTTTTCATTCCACGTTCGCCATATTTTTTATTATTTGCTTTCACTATTTACATTCTTGTGCTGTATGTGTATTTAATTACAATTCTTTAAAGATGTTAACATAATTTTAGAGACAAGTTCATTGATATAAAACCTAATTCTTCTTGGTAAGATATCTGATCAGAATACAAAAAAGAGAATGAAGTTCTCGATATCAAACAGCTAGATTCGTTTTATTATACTTTCGTTAAGTTTTTAACGTTTCCCAAAGTTTGAGCACTTCACTCTAGTACTGATAGTACTGAAAATGTTAAAAGAAATGAACATGAAGATATGAAAGTATTTGTACTGAACAAAGCATAAGTTTACTTCGTACAAAATTAACAAGGAAATGATAATCTTGTAGATATTGATCTACAAGAAAAGTTCAATTTTTTAAATAACTAAGACAATTTTCTTTACTCAACCTCAGAAATAATTTTTTACAAGATTTTGCATTTAGTTATTCTCTTTAAGATTTAGGAGTATATGTCATTCTTACTTTATTGTATTTTAAAAATAATCTTGATCAATACATCCTAATCACTATTTATTGAAAATAAATAGCGAATAACGCATGTTTAATTGGAAAAAATTTATGTACTTGGAAGAAGAAAACTCACTAAGAATATGATTTGTAACTATTTCCTGCAGACTTGAAGATTGTTTTAGTACAAAATTGGAATTCAAGAAGTAAAAATATCTTCATTTGTTTTGCAATTCAATTTATACTAATGATTCTCGAGAAAATTCCACCTTTCTTCGGGTTAAGCTCCTTCAATCTTATATTTCATGCTTATCCCTCAATTTCTCTATCTGAAAACAAACTAAGGCGAATTCTAAATACAAATCCAAATGATCAGATCTGATCCATATGAAGATCAGATCTGTATTTGAACTGAATTCTGAAGTTACACATCACATAAAGTTAATCTTATTTGTATTAGGTAATGTTTTAGTCAAAGACAAGAGACTCCCTACGTGTTTCATTGCTCTAAGTATGATAATCACACCACTTCAGAGACTATTTCCTCTTCCTGCACATGCCTCAAATTCTAGTGTGATGTTTGAAATGACTTCGAATCCATTGAAGTATGAATGATATGCTGTTGAATATCGTGATCTTGTTCTAGATGGGATGATTGCTTATAGATCACTTCCGGAAGATTGGAAATCAAAGTGTGAAGTTCGACATATGCTTGACGGGTAAAGCTCTTTTGCTCTGCCACTGCCAGTTTCTCATAAATCTTCGATGTGGATGTCATTGTAAGTTTTTCTTTACTTGATAAAATTCTTGTCGTTGAGATCATACACCGTAGGCAGCTGCAATCTCTGAACAGGACAGTTACCGCAAGGAGTCGCAGGCATTGGAACAATCACAACGATAGACCCTGAATATCGTGGTGAGTATGCGCAGCAGCAGCAATTCCTCGGATCAATCACCTTCATATCGATAACTATTTACAAATGAGTTCCTAAGAAGTGCTTTTGATGGTTTAAGTTGAATTTAGTTCTCAAACTTGCTGACAAGCCTATCAATGGAAAAATTGACCGGTGTTATGAATAAGATTGTGTGCGAATTAACGTACTTTAATTCGCATTTCAATTAGATTTTATAGCTTTCTGAAATATCAGATTTTTGTAGATTAGAGACGACGACTCTGGTGCATTTAGTGATCACACAAACTTGGCTAGAGGTGTAGATGACATGCGGTAGGTTCTTCTTCCGAAGATTGTTTGTGAAAAGTATTTCGAAATCTCAATAAGAAAATTCCTCATAGGCCTCATATCTTGATAAAACCATGAGAATAATCTCATGTTTTCATCAATATATGGACTCTATGAGGACGCAGGTATCCTTTTGACGCAGTGTCTGCGAGTTCTTCGTTGTTATAAAGGCATGTTCTTGTCGATAAACGCATTGCATTGTATAAATTAAATTCAAGCTAACGCCATATCGTTTGATGATCACTTCTGATACCCGATATTATGTGAGAGTTTAACTATGAGAATTGTATCTCATTGGATCAATCGGTCCATTGATCTCAAGAAAGCTGGTAACCTAAGCTTGAACTTTTCCAGATCATGCAGCTTTGATGGATGTCCTCGATACAAGACACAAGTAGATACCAGATGTTGATATATATCTATCTGCAACCTGTTCTTACGGGGAAAAGAGAGAAGTGGTCTCTATCACATTTTACGCGGTCCGGTTCTTGTTTCAGTCATAGCTATCGTGTTTAGAGGATATCACGTTACTATATTGAGCTCGTTATATAACCAATGTATATATGCAGGAGATATTTCAGTATTTTTACCTTCCTTGTATAGAAAAAGTGCGAAGTTTGTTGATAGAGATTGGCAAATCTCTTAAGTTAAGAAGTATTTTGCATTTGCACTCGCTCCAATGCGCATATCCTTGCAGTCTTTAGGAGAACTAGAGAGAAACTGCTCATCGCTTGCCTTTCGAACACTTTGATCACGACCTGAAACTCCGTGACAGGGAAAGATTACGTGAAGGAGACAATCAATTTTGGACCCATAATTCTTTCAGTACTCAAGCTCACGACACATGGCTGAATCACTTGGCGGTCGATGCATGGGATAACCTGGACCTTGTTTTTGCTCAGGACACAGTAGGAAGGTCTGGTGATGAGGATGCATACCTTCAAGAATACGAGATATGTGGTACACTTGAGAGCGCGTATTTTAAAACATTCCTCGTGCCGTGCAATTGCACGGCACGAGGAATGCATTCGATCTTCGATCTTCTTGCAGTCCGTCACACGCAACTCACCATCATCGATTGCAGTCAGTATTGCGCGAAGTGTGGACCTGGAACTCAAGTTCAAGAATAAGCTCTAATTTAGCACTTCTTCCGCAATCTTGATCGGACTTGATTGTCGGGAATCCATGCACAGGTTGCGACGCATTTCATCAACCGAAATTGAATTTGTTCCTCACAAGTCGATCCCCAAGAGCTGCCCATTGAGATGCGACCTGACTATTTGCAGTGCAAGCTCTGCAAGAAATCTCAACGACTGGCAGCGAGCCTCTGAACTGAAGCCCTCGAGGTGAGATATGTGTTCATTGACAGATCGTCTCACGAATGGCTCTCACCATGACAAATGTTCAGCCTCGGTCGACCAGTTATGGTGGGAATCATTGGCGAGAAGATGAGCTGAAGATGGTTGCACAGCTCTCGAGGTTTCATGCCATGAATTCGGATGTTCCATCTATTTACCGTATTAGATAACAAAGTAGATTAGACTATATACGAAAAATTGGACTAAGGTTACATTACATGTCTAGTTTATATGAGAATGTAATAGAAGAAAATAAACATTAAGAAAAATAAACATTAAAAAATTTCAGGTCATGCATTGAGATAATGTACACCTTAATCATGGTCTCTACCTTTGTTTGACATGCTTTTAATACCGGGTCAACATTCTGGTTCTTTCGAACCATAGTTTGTTGTAGGTATACAAAAAAAGAAAATTTGCGTTGACACAAGTTGGCTTCCACGTAGAAATATTTTTCCTAACAGATTTGATATTTTAGACATTTTGATGTCTGATCATTGACACATGTGATACACAACTTTTCTTTCGGAATTAGCACTATAGATGAGGTTCAATTGCTTTCAACTCGTAAACGTGAATTCAAACTATTAATTCTCATTTTTCTTCTAAGTTAGAGATAAGCCACCTTTGGTATTTTTATTTTTTTTCCTCATAGATAGAGATCCGAAAACAAATATTGACAAATATTACTTGTCGTTAACATACCTTTGAGTTTGTACTCACATCATTACAAATAACATCCCAAATTGTAATGTAAAATGCTATTCTCTTAGTTATTATAAAAATAATAGGTGAGATATATTTGTACATGTAATATTGCTTGCAATGTAATTTGAATCTATGAGCTGAAAAATTTTGTAAATCAAGATTTATTTCAATGTATATTCACTAAATATTAAAACAATGAAATGTTAAAGTAAATTTCAAATAAATTTCATCAACAAAATATTTTGAAAAGAATATTGAGAAATTTCATTTCCACATAATTTTTTTTATTCACATTGTGTTTCTTTAGCTGAATCTAGAATTTTAAAGTATATATTTTGCATATATTTGATTAGTTCAACACTCTAAAAATTGCATTTGTCCTTTCATAAGTAAAATTTACTTCAAAATAGACTTATGTTTGAATTTTAATTTTTATGATATAAATAAATATAATCTGTATTACTTTTAAAATTTTAAATAAATGTAAATAAATCAATATTTAAAAAGTTCAATAAAAAATATTGTCGTTAAATTTCATTTGTATTGAGTTAATCTAATAATATGATTTATGTAATCATATTAAGTCATTTTCTGTTTTTTTTTAATCTGTTATTTTAATTGAATATGAATTTGAACACTGAGCAAATCAAAAAAATCTACAAGTTGGATATAAGTTAGACTCTTACTTGATTAAATTTTTCATTGCATTAGATTCATGAATTAAATTATAAAGGTAAAATATAGTTATAAATAAAATATTGATTTAAACAAAAATAAAAAATAATAATTGATAAAATAAAAGTTTTGAAAAATTTGAATATACTGGTTCACAAAACTTTCCAGCACATAATAACACTGTTCATGAGATGACATTCTTATGAGTAATCAAACAGTGAAATACGAGATTTGTTATTTTGATGAACTACAATAAAAATCATTTTTATATATATTTTTTAATTTTATTTATCTATTATTTAAAAAAATATTTGAACTAATATTTGATAGTTTTTTTATATTATTATAGTTTTATTTTAAATAATTATTTCAAAAATAAATATATGTTGTATAAATTTTAAAAACTAATCTTAAAAAATGCAACATGATAAGTAGTTTTTGGAATTGTATACAGTTCACAAAGCCTTGCATATTTAAAAATATATTTATTTTTAGATTTAACTGAATTAATCAATTATTTTGAAGCATTATGTTTATGTGTTAAAAAACTTGAATGTAAGAAAATAATGAATTTGAACTTCATGTAATGAAATTTTTTATTTTTTTTTCAAGATTATAACTTAAATAACTTTCAAAAGGAATGATAAAGATTTGCATTGAAGAACACTTATTGTATCAATATTATACATCAATATCACTATGATAGACATAAATCAAGGTCTTTAATATGTATTATATTTTAAAATTAATTTATAAAATGAAAAAATTGATTGTTCCTATTAGCAATACAGAGCTCAAATCACACGTGAAAGTTGAATAGACAATTGTGAACTGGAAAGAATAACGAGTAAAAAGACAATATGGACAGATTGTAAAGGAGAAAAGCTATTTTGTGACTCGCTATCAAAAAATGTCCATTGGCATGAAAGATGAATGTTGTATGTATGAATGTTGTATTTAGATCAAAGATGTTGGGCTGAAACTTTGATATGAAGAGGTATGTAGTTTATTGGGCGACTTCGACTTTATACATGATATTTAATTTTGATAAGTCAAAGAGATCGGTAGTAAACAATATGCTACAATAGATAGAAGATTAATTTCTTTAGAATAATTTTTTATGATTGATGCAGATATCTTCAATTCATCAAACATTTTTTGTGAGTCTATATGAGAATTGAAGCTGGCTTTACTGGTGATTGATCAAATTTACGGTAGATATTTGCCAAGAATGAAATTGCAACGAAAGTGAAATATCAAGATGATTGCAAAGGAGCGATAAATCTTTCTCCATTTCCGTTTGATATATTCTATATGACTTGGTTGACTCGTTAGAAACAGTAATGTTAAAAGAATAAAAATGTTGTACGGGTGAGTGATGCATGTAGTAATTAGGATTAGGAATAATATACATACACGTCAATAGGATGGTTAAAAAGGTTCTCATTTTGATGTGTATTTTAGAATAATTCCATTGCATAGTTAAGGTAGAAGATCTCTATCAAAGTTGACAATGTGCGTGACATTGATGACATGAATTTCCTGCAAGATCGCTGAACTTAAACAAGGAATGTGGCCCTAGCTCATGTTATCTCACATAAAAGATTCGCCAGACGGCATCACCGAACCATGTCCATGAAGATCCTCACGCTGGGTACAGAAATATTATTTTTGAGATTGAATATCTAGAATACGTATGTGTAAATTCCTCTTTGTGTGATGTAAGAAGAACAGGAAAAATTTACTATAACAAAAATTAATAGACTTTGACGTCAGTAGTGTTAAAGTTGTCTAATATCTTCCAGATTTTCCTTTTGGTTTCTCAATTCCCTGGTAACTAATCTGACATACTACAATGTAAACTTTTTTTAAATAACTGGTATATTACAGGACCTAATTTTTTCTATTATTATCACTTGTAGTAAAATGATAGACATATATCTATATAGTTATATAGAAAGAATATTAAGCCACAAAGTGCGATGGTTTCGGAAGGGATTCTATCCCCTTCGAAAATATTTGATAAATACAATAAAGAACCATTGGGCACATGCATGGAGGGCACCAACTAGTCGTTCAGGTCTGCACCGCGCAGGAGTAGAATGTCATGGCATTCAACAACGACAAGGATAGTCCAATGCGGTTTATCACGTAACAAGTATCTCGAGGCACCAGCCTTGTTGTGTGTAAGATCCTGGTTCTCGAATGATTGGGGAGGTTCCACCAAACATGTCGCTCTTCCATTCAATACAGATTTCTTGATTGGTGTTACTCTACTTTCACGTGATTCTTGCTTGATGCACCATACCCTGCACACACGGTAGACTTGTTGACCGTAGACATTCTTCGTAATAGTAAAAACATAATCTGGATCACAGAGGCCTGACTTATTCCAATTTACAGAGATGCATACCGTCGTACAAATACGTTCACTCCTCACGAAGTATAGATACCAATGTTTTACCGTACGAACTCAGTACTTTCAGTGTATGTACAGAACGAACATGTTTCTGAAATTCAAAAAGGTTCGGTTCGCTCTGTTCAATTCTGTTCATGATCATGAAATACTCATCTTGCTTTGGTAGAGTTTGGATTGCCTGAATTCAATCAGTAGAAAAGCACATACTTGCGGCCTCAGACGTGAAGATAGATGGCAAACCTGTTGGGAGTAGGGGTTAGCTTCACTCCGAATAGTAATATACACTACAGATCTAAGCCTATCTTACGTACGAGTAGGATATGAAAACCCTGGAATTTTTAAGCTCCCAGATCTGGTCTCGGGTTCACACATGTTTTCTTCTCCTTCACCTATCTTCAAGAGGAAGGACAAATTCTTGAGAAGATTACTCTGTTTCACAATGGCTGCTATACTGAATCATGTTTCTCTCACCATCTTTCTCCTTTCCCAGTAATATCGATTTTTTCTGCCTTTGCTTGCAAATCAATCTGTTTGGTAACACTACTTTTGACAGTCCCTATAATCCCTTTCCTCTGTCCAAGAGGTTACAAGTACTGTTGTTTGACTGCCACAACCTCGTAAATCTTCAGAATCAAGTTCTCACACACACCGCCTATTTTCCAAGGATAGGCCTCTTTCGCTCAGTGTTTTGTACCTGGCATGCTAATGGTTATTATCTCCCAGTTGGATTACTGATTGTTCCAATTTCCTCAACATCTGGTCGACTAGCGAGTGATACGCGATATTTGCCGACAAGAAAATACACATCCACAACAGTACCTAGCTACTGTTCCTGCAATGTGGCTATTCATACATTTTTCGACGCATACAGACAAGTCGATTTTTTATTCTGCACAGACATCATCTGACAAGGATCGTTCTTGAATCACAGCGCTAGTCGCGTTTCGCACGGTGATGGAAAACTGCTCACATCGCCACTAGCAACGAAAGCTTTGCTAGCTGATGGAGGACATATCCTCGGGAATTTAGATTGTAGCATAGGGATAATCATTCGACAACACCTAATAGGACAACAATTAAGCAAAGAACAAACTCCTATGCAATCTGCAAGTCCAGAAGATCATTTTCATTACACGACGATCACAAGAATCGTGAAAATCAAAAGCCAAGCTAACGAAAAACTGTTGATGAAAGGGCATCAGTACATGGTGGCTCTTATTCAACATGGGATTTAGAATTCACAATTGACTCTTTCTACTGGCGGGGAAGCCTTCACGGGGAACCCTGTTGTAAATTACATCCTCTGTTCCTCTCGTCTTACTTCTTAAGTTCTACCCCAGGCGCCATTGAATGATTCGCAGTTCTGCCCCACTAGAGACAAGCTTGCGTTATATAATCCGCTCCTATACACAAGTAACAACAACTCAATATTTGTAATCCTTCACGTGAAGGCTTTCATCACCCAGACCTCCGGCAGCATCACCCTTGTAAGTTCCGAGAACCGCCTCTGAATTTGCCTTGCACCTCTTGTGGAAAGCCTTCTGCGCCGCGTCGATGTTTTCCGCCTTGCCGGACCAGGTCTTGAGCACACTCTGTTGCAAGGCGCGTCCGAAGGAAAATGACAGTGTCCATGGCTTCTTGGCGTCTAGTTGGTTCATGGCGTTCAGGTTCAAAGTAGCCTCCTCCTCGCTCTGGCCTCCGGAAAGGAAGACGATACCGGGCACAGCTGGGGGCACCGTTCTCTGAAGTGCCTGCACGGTGTACTTGGCAATCACCTCGGGGGTAACCTTCTTGGCTTCGGATCCGGGGGTGACCATGTTGGGCTTGAGCAGGGTACCCTCCAAGAGCACGTGTTGCTCATTCAAAGCCTTGTAGCATGCGGCGAGAACCATCTCGGTGACATACGCGCACCTCTCGATGGAGTGAGTACCATCGACCAAAATCTCGGGCTCGACGATGGGGACGAGTCCATTCTCCTGGCAGATCATGGCGTAGCGGGCCAGACCCTGGGCATTTTGCTGGATCGAGAGCTCCGAAGGCTCATTGGCGCCGATCTTCAAAACAGCCCTCCACTTGGCAAATCGGGCGCCAGCCTCGTAGTACTTCTTGCACCTGTCACCGAGGCCATCAAGACCCTGCGTGGTTGTCTCGCCGTCGGTTCCAGCCAACTCGACCACACCCTTGTCGACCTTGATTCCGGGAATGACACCACCATCCAACAACAGCTTGGTGAATGGAACACCGTCATCGGTCTTCTGGTACAGAGTCTCCTCGAAAAGGATCACTCCGCTCAGGTACTGGTGCGTGTCGGGGGCGGTGAACAGCAGCTGCCTCAGCGCCTGCCTGTTGGCCTCCACATTCTCTACCTTGATGCTCGACAACCTCTTGCCGATCGTCCCTGTGCTCTCATCGGCGGCCAAAATACCCTTCCCGGGAGTGGCGATGTACGCCGCGGTCTTCTTCAACTCCTCAGCATACTTTCCCTCGTAGGCTGACATGTTGACGAAGCTTTTTCTTCACCCGTCCGTCGATCGACCAAACAACGCAGCCAAAACCTCTCGAGCAAAAATGACCAGGATCGCAGAACTCTCGCGCACTGCCAACAGACTCCTTCGCACGAGACCTTATTCACACCCGCGACCGATTCGCCGACTCGCTGAAGCTGGAGATGGAGCTGAGCCTGATCTGATCCGGGGCCTCCAACACTTTCAACTAGATGCACACGACAAGGATAACGCACTCACGGCCCCGCCAGGACAAGCGAACCCGAGACGAAAGTCGATGTGGAGGAGAAGGTGCCGCTCGACTGACTGAGGAATCGGTCAGTGCTAGAGTTCTTTGTAGAGGCCCCGAGCCGCGAAGTTGAGCTTGCGATTCCGGGCGCTCCCGGTAGCACCGGTTCATCGGCACACGACGCCCCGGGCTTGGCCCTCTCCGCCAGCCCGCCCGCCCGCGACAAATAAATCAATCATTTTCATTTCGCCCATATCCGCAGCGCAAGCGCTGGCGCTGAAATCGTAGCGATAAGAAGGACGTCACTCGCGATCTTGCTCAGCTCCGCGCGCGGACGGGCAGAGCTGCTCCGAACGCAACAGGGCCGGCGGTGCCGGTGTCGCCCCCCCGCCCATCCCAGTCACCACCCCCCCCCCGCCTCTGCTAATTCTGTCGCTCTCAGTCCACCTACCGTAAGCAAGCGACGCAGCGAGCAACAGCGACTTGATGCCGATTAATTCTTCATTCTCTCCTCCTCCTTACCGACTGATCTGGACTTTTTTGCTCGATATTATTTTTTAGAGGGCGTCAAAAGTTGCGTGTTGCAGCTGCCGATGAAATTATTTTCCACCAGTTTCGATCTCTCGAATGGATGGAGGATACCTTCTACAAGAAATTCAACCAAAATATTATATCGGCAATATCAAAAGTCTCATTCGGGCCAGATAAATGAATTTATTATAAATAAATGCAAGTTCATTTATGCACGCTGGAAGGACAAAGTCTTGGGGTATATGCCGGTCGGTCGAACGGAATATTAATTTCAACGTCAATGAGTGGGGATGGGACAAGTTGCACGAGGAGGAGGAAGAGGTTCTCAATCATGGCTCAACGGGTTTCATTTCGCTGACCGTTGCCTATCAATGCTCGAACTTTCTTTACCATAACGTCCGACCTCTTTCCCACTGTCCGCTGCTTAGGCACGAGCTTGGATGCGCGTCGCATTATTTTTTCGAGTATTCGAACTGGAATATTTGAATTGTTATCCAGAACGGGCGAGGCGCGCCTTCCTGGCGGTCTCTGAAATCGTTCTGCCACTTGCTTGCTCGACGCGAACACTTCCTGAAAGGGCCCCATGAGAAGCTGAGGAACGTTAGGAATGGGCGCGGCCTGGACGATGAGCCAAGGGGTAGTTTTCTCGGTGGCATGAGTTGGACTCCGGTGGATATTCCGGGCTTCTCCATATCTTTTCTCCGCATGCTGAAGATTAGAGAATCTCAAGTCCGCGATTAAATAGCAGCTCGGATATATTTGCGAGAATCCGTCAAGAATATCTGAGAGTTTTTTCTCCTTGCATAATACGATGATCGTCCGAAAGATATATCGAACTCGAAAGGCGAGGTCGTAGAGTCGTCTAAATTTGGAGTGCAGCTTACACTACCTGACTCCGAGCGCCTGAAACGTCGCAAGCCCATCCTTCTTTGTCAGCCCATCAAGCGCTAGAATCTGCCCCCAAAGGTTCGAAGTGCTTGCGTCATCCTACTTCTTTTCTCGATCTTGTTTGAGATCATTCTTCATTTTGCTCGGCCATTGATACTGTCCCTATATTACCACATCGGTAATCCACGTAATTTTATTCATCCCAGGAATTTCAACTCTTTGCCCATAACTCAGAGTTCAGACTGTAAGCTATCAGGAGATAGAAGGAAAAAGGGTGAAAAAATAAAGGACAAAACTGGAATCATCCTATCCGCTAAAATGGCCAGATGTCTTGGAGAATGTCAGGTTAAACTGAAAGAGAAAGTCATGCTAAAGGTGGGAACCGTATGCTAGATTAACGAGAGTTTGGAGAGAGATTGAGTTGTATCCCACTATCAAGCATTAACCAAGAAATCAAGTTATCAGATTTCATTCTCTTTCTTCATATATAATACAATCGTCAAGTTCAACATCTCTTGATAGAATTGAGAGAAACTTTTCATGAAGTAGTGTTGCTTATTCAAGAAGGATGTGCTTCGTTTAGAAATTTAGAAGATTCAAAAAAATACTAAAACCTTGACTTTATGTATGTATCAGTTTTATACAGACACAATGTTACTTTATATAGAGATTCACTCATAATTAAATCAGTTTGCATTCTGAAAGCTTATGATAAATTTATACGTGTTTCAAGTCGACTGTTCCAGTCTCAAAATATTGTATCATACAATTTTTTCAAGTCAATCTTCGTAATTGCAACTCATAGAAAGTCAAACTTTATCTAAAATCTAAAGATTGATGAATAAAGATCTCGTTGCATCAATATTCCATGTTCGACATAATTTGTTGATGTAGAATGTATTCATAAGAAGTAATTTTTTTAATATAACTAATTTGTACAAATTTGAGTATACTTCTCAAACTTTTAGATCACAAAAATCATACCAATAATCATAATACTTTTTATCTAGGGAGTGGTTAGTTATCCCTTAGATCAGGTTAATTATCCCTCACCCTACCGAACAGAGCTCTGTGATTGGTCACACTATTGAACAAAGTTATGTGATTGTTCAGAGCTATCCCTATTTTTATTTGAGCTCCGTGATATACTCTTCAAAGCATAGAGAAAAGGGAAGAAGTAGTGCACATTAGCCTAGGGTTAAGGATAATTAACCAAACTGAAATATAACTAACCTCTCACTTTTTTATATCTTGATGAAATGAAATACGGAATAAAATGTTAATGAAACTTAAACATGCAGTCTAACTACTTGGATCTTCTCAATCATAACTATCGAAAAATTAGATGAACCCAATAATTTTTTTACCCAATACTTAAACCTCCTTATATCACCAAACAAAATTAAAACCAATTCATGGTTCACACCATAGAAACTATTTGGTATCATGAAAGTTGAAATAACAATTTGTAGCTGACACATATTGTGGGGAGTTGTTTGCGGGGCGATTAGTTGAAGGAGAATGCATTTCTTTTCAATGTGACATGTTCTTGGAGGAGGAATGAGATACGAGATGAGACCGTTTTTACAGGTGACGAAGAAAACCACCGTCTATTCTTTCTGTATCAGGGGTTGGTGAGTTCCTATCCTAGAATAACAACGTTCAACAGTTCGCATCGATGAACAGATAATTGTCTCATTTCTGACAATTTTGTATGAAAGAGTGTTGCCATATTTGCAGCATGATAATTATACACATTCAACTGCTTCCCTTCTCGTTGTCATTCTGACTTGACACATGTCGCCAAGAGCTCCTACTTCCAGCCGATGTGTCAGCCGAGTCTTTCCTTCGACTGAAGCTGACGAGGATCTGGAATGCAACAGCCTTGCATGCGACAGGTAGGCCTCATTCTCCTGCGCTCTCGTCATGCTTGCATCCATCCGTAACATCAACCTCCATCGCTTCAACGACTCTCCATCCTGACTTACTACCTACTTCGTCGAGGCTTTTTACTCCAGAGGTGCCCTTTAAGTCAAGAAGCGCATAAGCATATCTTGGTGGGAGACAAGGTTGATCCTTGGACCCGTCGAGTAGGCTCCTGCAGAACCAGACGGGCGGACAGAGAAAGAGGGAGACTTGTCGCTCTGCATCGCATGCAATTTTTAATGCATATGTCATGTCCAATATTTCTTGCTTCCGTCTCCGAAGCAAGCTTCTGTAGTGTCTTGGAGGTAAATGTCATGACTCAATGTGGTGCCTTTCGACTAGAATCAGCAGTGGGACCGATAAAGAATATTGGAATAAGGTCCATTGTGCTCTCCAATGACTTTTGCTCCTCTTTTTAGAATCCACATAACTGTTGACATATTTCTCCTGCCCCTTCTGGTGGGTGCCATGCGGATATTTGATTGTCCCATTCGTGTTTTCGAATTTTGTTTTGTGTTGTTCGAATAAGTTTCTGTTCAAAGTTGCACTTAAAGTTTGAAAGCCGTCCCTGAAGGACTTTTCGATATACTTACATGTTTCCAGCTCCTGACTGGAATCAGTCAATCTAGGGGGCCAAATGTATATAAAAAACACGACGGGTTTTAAACTGGTATCAGCGGCAGAGACTGTCTTCCTTGGAATTGGACCTTTCCATCATGTTACGGGATCCTTTGAGTGAAACATGTCTGTCACTTCCAAGAATTATTTTCAAACAAATGTAACTTAGTTTCTAACTTAGGAATCCATGTAATTCCATGGACTGTAAAGAATTGTATCTCTGAACTCAGAGTCCCCGTGGATATTGATTTCCGAATCAATATCTAGGTGCAGAAGCAGAGCAAGTGTGCATGCATGGAGGAACCCATGACATAAGCTAGAAGCCCCCTGTGATGAGTCATGCGATAGAATGTAGACCAGTAGAATAATGTTACTCGAAGAACTTGCTATGGGGAAGGATGGTGTAGCACAGTCTGCATTGACTATCCACTGCGAAGAAACTTGAATGCTGTCGATCCTTATCTCTAACAAAATATGGACTTTTTAATGACATTTGCTGCTCGTGATTTCCCGTATAAAACAATAGAGGTATGAGAATCCCGCTAACGCACCTCGCCCGTTCCCCATGTCGAAATGAACGGCTCTATCAAAACTTGAACTCTGGGCATCATCACAGATAACAATGAATAAGGTACGTTCGAATTCTATCCCGAGATGAAGAGGATATCCTTCCGGAGGATAGTGGTGCCAGAAAGATGCTGAACCAACGATATTCAATGATCACAATTTATGTGTTCAAATTTCAATAGCGATTTGGGGCCTTGTCTTCCGTACTTTCTTCCTTTTCAAGGATCATAACTGGGACATTGGTGCGATAAGTGTTAGTTTGCTTTATATTTGCGTAATATTTTTACCCTACCGCGTTGGTCAGTATTTATGCGATGATATACCATGTCTATATCTACCCTTCACTTTCTGCACAAATAAGCCTCCCCCTAGAAGGAATATAAGCACAATGGGGGACTTTTCCATTTTCCATTTATTCTTCATCTCCAGGGAAGGAACCAAAAAGGGAAGACTTTTGCGACGGTTAATAGCTGGCTAACCTTCTTGTAGGTTGGGCCAAATGCTTTATTGTCGTAGAGAAAATCTAGAACATACACTTGACCATTATCACCACGTCTCTGATTTTGCTATACCATAGGTTCTATCCACAGCATTGAGATCCTGTATTGGCACATTGGCACAACGTATATGATGGTTTAGGTATCGGAAGAGAGCGAATTAGGGTCGTTTTTGTTC